GTCAAACAATTCCCAGAAGCAAGGGAAACGCTTGCAGGGAGGGGCCTACCCACGTATCAGGGGTCAAGCCACACCAGGAAGGAGGAGAGAGAGCAAGGGGCTGTAGATCTGTGAACCACGGAGAAAAAGAAAAGTGACAATATATATCGGCTGGATTTATCGTGTATGACCTGGACTGTTTGGGCTTACCTGTTGGCTATCTTAAAAAAATATATTTTCCTTTATTATTTTCCACTAACCCTACCACCCCTCCCCTAATTGGAGGAAACTAATGAACAACAACACTTAGGCTTCTACTTCCAGCTGATACATACTATATACATTTTACAGATCTATTTTACAATAGTGTCACGATCGTTCAAGGAAGTGACGGACCAAGGCGCAGCGTGGTAAGCGTACATTTTATTTAATTAACGTACTTAACACACACGAACAAAAACAACAAACCAAACGATACGTGAAGTCCTAGGTTAACACCAAAACAAACCATACAGAACAAGATCCCACAATGACTAGTGCCAAACATGCTGCCTAAGTATGGTCCCCAATCAGAGACAACGAGAAACAGCTGCCTCTGATTGGGAACCACCCTGGCCAACATAGATCTACACGATCTAGATCAACAACATAGAAAATACAACATAGACACTACACACCCTGGCTCAACATTTAAGAGTCCCCAGAGCCAGGGCGTGACAGTACCCCCCCCAAAGGCGCGGACTGCGACCGCGCCACACAAACACAAGAGGGTAGGGGCCGGGTGGGCATTCCGCCTCGGAGGCGGATCCGGCTCCGGGCGTGACCACCACCTTTTCTCCACCTCCCCGTTGCGCCCCTGGTCTGGTCTGGCCCCGCTGACTGGAGCTGGACTGGACACCGGTGGAGCGGATTGCTCAGGCTCCGGAGTGGAGCAGGCACGGGCCATGCCGGACTGGACACACGCACCACTGGCTTGGTGCGGGGAGCAGGAACGGGCCGGACCGGGCTGACGACGCGCACCACTGGCCTGGTGCGGGGAGCAGGAACGGGCCGGACCGGGCTGACGACGCGCACCACTGGTTTGGTGCGGGGAGCAGGAACGGGCCGGACCGGGCTGACGACGCGCATCACTGGCTTAGTGCGAGGGACAGGAACAGGCCGGACCGGGCTGGCGACGCACACCACTGGCTTGGTGCGGGGAGCAGGAACGGGCCGGACCGGGCTGGCGACGCGCACCACTGGCTTGGTGCGAGGGACAGGAACAGGCCGGACCGGGCCGACGACGCGCACCCCTGGCTTGGTGCGGGGAGCAGGAACAGGCCGGACCGGGCTGACGACGCGCACCACTAGCTTGGTGCGGGGAGCAGGTACAGGCCGGATCGGGCTGACGACGCGCACCACTGGCTTGGTGCGGGGAGCAGGAACAGGCCGGACCGGGCTGGCGACGCGCACCACTGGCTTGGTGCGGGGAGCAGGAACAGGCCGGGCTGGACTGGGAACACGCACCATTGGCTTGGTGCGGGGAACAGGCCGGGCTGGACTGGGAACACGCACCATTGGCTTGGTGCGGGGAGCAGGAACAGGTCGGGCTGGACTGGGAACACGCACCATTGGCTTGGTGTGGGGAGCCGGAACGGACCGGGCCGGACTGTGGATACGCACCACTGGCTTGGTGCGGGGAGCAGGAACAGGCCGGGCTGGACTGGGAACACGCACCATTGGCTTGGTGCGGGGAGCCGGAACGGGCCGGGCCGGACTGTGGATACGCACCACTGGCTTGGTGCGGGGAGCAGGAACGGGCCGGGCCGGACTGGGAACACGCACCACTGGCCTTGTGCGGGAAGCAGGAATGGGTCGAGCCATACTGGGAACACGCACCACTGGCTTAGTGCGGGGATCAGGAACGGGCCGGACCGGACTGGTGACACACACCACTTGCTTGGTGCGAGGAGCGGGACTGGGTTTCCTTATAAACCTCTGCTGCCTAACCAGCTCCTCTCGCCGTGCCTCTACACTCTCCTTCTCCCTTAACGCCTCCTGTAGCTCCTCTCTCTGACCAATTAACTCCTGCTCCCTCTGGACCAATAGCCCCCGTAACCTGGTGGCCTCCTCTCCTAGTCTGCAGATACGCCCTGTCGCTGCCTCCTGCTGCCCCATCGTCCACGGCGTGTGCCCCCCCCAAAATTTTTTTCTTGGGGTTGCCTCTCGGGTGTCCGTCGTCGGCACGGTTGGCGCCGTTTCTCCTCTCCTGCCTGGGCATTTTCATTCATCGCCCTCCGGTAACGGACGGCCTCCTCCTCCGTGATTCTCCCCCAACCGAGGAGGACATCTACTAACGTAACCTCCAGCGTTTGCTCCTGGACACGCTGCTTGGTCCTCTTTTGTTGGGATCTTCTGTCACGATCGTCGTTAGATGAAGCGGACCAAGGCGCAGCGTGGTAAGCGTACATTTTATTTAATTAACGTACTTAACACACACGAACAAAAACAACAAACCAAACGATACGTGAAGTCCTAGGTTAACACAAAAACAAACCATACGGAACAAGATCCCACAATGACTAGTGCCAAACATGCTGCCTAAGTATGGTCCCCAATCAGAGACAACGAGAAACAGCTGCCTCTGATTGGGAACCACCCTGGCCAACATAGATCTACACGATCTAGATCAACAACATAGAAAATACAACATAGACACTACACACCCTGGCTCAACATTTAAGAGTCCCCAGAGCCAGGGCGTGACAAATAGTTATCTTTTGTTTGTTTTTACTCCTATCCTATTGTATTGTATATCTTAAATAATATGTATGCCTACATTCAGATATACAGTGGGGGAAAAAAGTATTTAGTCAGCCACCAATTGTGCAAGTTCTCCCACTTAAAAAGTTGAGAGAGGCCTATAATTTTCATCATAGGTACACGTCAACTATGACAGAGAAATTGAGAAAAAAAATCCAGAAAATCACATTGTAGGATTTTTTATGAATTTATTTGCAAATTATGGTGGAAAATAAGTATTTGGTTACCTACAAACAAGCAAGATTTCTGGCTCTCACAGACCTGTAACTTCTTCTTTAAGAGGCTCCTCTGTCCTCCACTCGTTACCTGTATTAATGGCACCTGTTTGAACTTGTTATCATTATAAAAGACACCTGTCCACAACCTCAAACAGTCATACTCCAAACTCCACTATGGCCAAGACCAAAGAGCTGTCAAAGGACACCAGAAACAAAATTGTAGACCTGCACCAGGCTGGGAAGACTGAATCTGCAATAGGTAAGCAGCTTGGTTTGAAGAAATCAACTGTGGGAGCAATTATTAGGAAATGGAAGACATACAAGACCACTGATAATCTCCCTCGATCTGGGGCTCCACGCAAGATCTCACCCCTTGGGGTCAAAATGATCACAAGAACGGTGAGCAAAAATCCCAGAACCACACGGGGGGACCCAGTGAATGACCTGCAGAGAGCTGGGACCAAAGTAACAAAGCCTACCATCAGTAACACACTACGCCGCCAGGGACTCAAATCCTGCAGTGCCAGACGTGTCCCCCTGCTTAAGCCAGTACATGTCCAGGCCCGTCTGAAGTTTGCTAGAGTGCATTTTGATGATCCAGAAGAGGATTATGAGAATGTCATATGGTCAGATGAAACCAAAATAGAACTTTTTGGTAAAAACTCAACTCGTCGTGTTTGGAGGACAAAGAATGCTGAGTTGCATCCAAAGAACACCATACCTACTGTGAAGCATGGGGGTGGAAACATCATGCTTTGGGGCTGTTTTTCTGCAAAGGGACCAGGACGACTGATCCGTGTAAAGGAAAGAATGAATGGGGCCATGTATCGTGAGATTTTGAGTGAAAACCTCCTTCCATCAGCAAGGGCATTGAAGATTAAACATGGCTGGGTCTTTCAGCATGACAATGATCCCAAACACACCGCCCGGGCAACGAAGGAGTGGCTTCGTAAGAAGCATTTCAAGGTCCTGGAGTGGCCTAGCCAGTCTCCAGATCTCAACCCCATAGAAAATCTTTGGAGGGAGTTGAAAGTCTGTGTTGCCCAGCGACAGCCCCAAAACATCACTGCTCTAGAGGAGATCTGCATGGAGGAATGGACCAAAATACCAGCAACAGTGTGTGAAAACCTTGTGAAGACTTACAGAAAACGTTTGACCTGTGTCATTGCCAACAAAGGGTATATAACAAAGTATTGAGAAACTTTTGTTATTGACCAAATACTTATTTTCCACCATAATTTGCAAATAAATTCATTAAAAATCCTACAATATGATTTTCTGGATTTCTTTTTCTCATTTTGTCTGTCATAGTTGACGTGTACCTATGATGAAAATTACAGGCCTCTCTCATCTTTTTAAGTGGGAGAACTTGCACAATTGGTGGCTGACTAAATACTTTTTTCCCCCACTGTAGATCTCTTTGTTCAATATCACTTACCCTTCCATTTCGTGACCAGTTGTCTGGGACAGGGATGTTGTTTCGATGTGCCAATTTGTAGGCAAATTCTCTACATTTGAGGCTACTAAGCCCATAAAACTGGTCCGCAAGATTCTCGATATGTTTAGCAAGCACAGACTCCATTTCATCTTTCGTACAGGTACATGTTTGTTTTCTTTTTTGTCATTGTAACTCTTCAGTGTCATTCAGTCAATTTATTTCATAAATTGTTGCTGCTCAAATGGACTTCTTTCCTTCGCTCACGTCCTTGGCTGAAATGATGATCTTTCCTAAATATTTGGTTAAATTATAAATTTTGGCTCAACTAACCCTTTGGCTTAACTTACCCCACTCTCCCCTATCGGAAAACCAAAAAAAAAAGCATTTCCTATTGGACAAGTTCAGGTAGTCCCTCCCTGTTTCAGTCTGTTTTTTTTCTCTCCATTTGGTGTCTAGTGAATACGACCTGTGAGAGTGTATCTGTTTTGTGTGTGTCTGTGCTATGTGAACATGTACTGTAGTGAAGATCAGTGTGGCTATGTGACACCTGTGTCTCTCTCAGGTGGGCGAAGGGTGGTGTTCTCCTGGAGGGGGCAAGGGAGAGTGTGTTTGTGACCACAGCAGACCACTCCTTCCACACCGAGCCGGTCTCCTGCTCAGTGTTCAACGCTGTGGGACACACCAACCTCAGCATCGTGGTCGATGTACACTGTGAGTCTGACTATTAGATAGATTTTATTGTCCTCCGAAGAGGAAATTCATTTCCACAGCTCATACATTTACATATCAAGACCAACAAACACATCACCTAGATTTGTCATTTACAGTTCGATACCTCCATACACTTAAGACAGCAGATAAACAGACAGAAGACTGAGACCGCACATTAGTCTGTTGTTTGTTTATCTGCTTTCTTATCTAGTGTATCTGTCTGTCCGTCCGTCCATCCCAGAGGATGCAGTCTTGAAGGAGTTCCCACATATGCTGAGCACTTGTTGGCTGCTTTTCCTTCACTCTGCTGTCCGACTCATCCCAAACCATCTCAATTGGGTTGAAGTCGGGAGATTGTGGAGGCCAGGTCATCTGATGCAGCACTCATCACTCTCCTTCTTGGTAAAATAGCCCTTATACAGCCTGGAGGTGTTTTGTGTGATTGTCCTGTTGAAAAACAAATGATAGTCCCACTAAGCGCAAACCAGATTGGATGGCATATTGCTGCAGAATGCTGTGGGAGCCATGCTGGTTAAGTGTGCCTTGAATAAATCACTGATTGTGTCACCAGCAAAGCACCCCCTCACCATCACACCTCCTCCTCCATGCTTCACGGTGGGAACCACACGTGCAGAGATCATCCGTTCACCTACTCTGCGTCTCACAAAGACACGTTTTTGGAACCAAAAATCTCAAAGTTGGACTCATCAGACCAAAGGACAGATTTCCACCGGTCTAATGTCCATTGCTCGTGTTTCTTGGCCCAAGCAAGTCTCTTCTTATTATTGGTGTCCTTTAGTAGTGGTTTCTTTGCAGCAATTCGACCATGAAGGCCTGATTCACACAGTCTCCTCTGAACAGTTGTTGAGATGTGTCTGTTACTTGAACTCTGTGAAGCATTTATTTGGGCTGCAATTTCTGAGGCTGATAACTCTAATGAACTTATCCTCTGCAGCAGAGGTAACTCTGGGTCTTCCATTCCTGTGGCGGTCCTCATGAGAGCCAGTTTCATCATAGCTCTTGATGGTTTTTGTGACTGCACTTGAAGAAACTTTAAAAGTTCTTGAAATGTTCCACATTGACTGACCTTCATGTCTTAAAGTAATGATGGACTGTCGTTTCTCTTTGCATATTTGAGCTGTTCTTGCCATAATATGGACTTGGTATTTACCAAATAGGGCTATCTTCTGTATACCACCCCTACCTTGTCATAACAAAACTGATTGGCTCAAACGCATTAAGAAGGAAAGAAATTCCACAAATTAACTTTTAACAAGGCACACCTGTTAATTGAAATGCATTCCAGGGTACTACCTCATGAAGCTGGTTGAGAGAATACCAAGCGTGTGCAAAGCTGTCAACAAGGCAAAGGGTGGCTACTTTGAAGTATCTCAAATATAACATATATTTTGATTTGTTTATCACTTTTTTGGTTACTACATGATTCCATATGTGTTATTCATAGTATTGATTATTCTACAATGTAGAAAATAGTAAAAATAAAGAAAAACCCTGGATTGAGTAGGAGTGTCCAAACTTTTGACCAGTACTGTATGTCTGTCTTTATACGTTTCTAACTACTGTATCTGTCTGTCTGTCAGATGGTCCTATCCTGAAGGGGGCGCCCACACCAATTACAGTGGACATTGACTCTGACGCCAAACTCAACTGCAAGTGGGCCGGGAACCCTCCACTCACACTCACCTGGACCAAGAAGGGATCTAGCATGGTGAGAATTGAGAAGCTATCCTCTACTGTAATTCCTGGGTTGGGGTCAATTCCATTTAAATTATTTCAATTCAGGAAGTGATTCTAATTCACATTTTTCTCAATGCTTGTCTATGAGAAAAAATGGGGAATTGGAATTTCAGTTGACTTCCTCAATTGACTGAACTAAAATGGAATTGACCCCAAAGCTACTGCTATCCTGGACCCTGAAACCCCATATCATGGACTCCATATCCATGCTACCAGTGCTTGACTCGGACTGAAATAGGTGCCAGATGTAACTCATTTTGGATGCCGGTACTCTTTATATTTAGTTCCTGGTAATCATTATATTTTTATGTCAATTTTGCCATTACTCAGCACCGGTGTGTAGCCCACCGGCCCAATTTAAACACTGCATGCTACCAATACCCTAAACCCATAAAAGCAGCACTACATTGAACCTTGTCCCGCCTGAACTTCTTACTCTCCCCAAACCTAAATATAACACCCCCTAACACAACTAATGTTGAACTCCTAACCTATGCCCTAAATATTGTATTAATGCTTTATAACTAATTAAGAAACACTTCAGGAAATGTATTGTAGCCTGCTGCTGAGAAAATCAACATGTTTTATGAATTAAATATCTCCCTCCCTCCCTTTACAACTCGGTTCCATCTAACCTCCCTCCCGTACGTGTGTGTGTGCGTGCGTGTGTGTGTGTGTGCCCTTTTCAGGTGCTTAGTAACAACGAGGAGCTTGTCCTGAAGTCAGTGAGCCAGGCAGACGCGGGCCAGTATATGTGTAAGGCTATCGTCCCCAGGATCGGAGTGCGAGAGACTGAGGTCAATCTTATAGTCAACGGTCAGTTACAGTACAGCCGTGTATAGTGTACACACACAGACACACACACACATACAGTGTTACTTTTAACATTACTACCCTTTTGATTCTGCTGTTACTACTTCTGGGCCCATATTCATAAAGTATCTCCGAGTAGGAGTGCTGAAATAGGATCAGGTCCCCCCTGTCCATTCAGTTACCACTTCCACCACTAATGTCCCATCATAATCACTCATTTTGTCATGAGTGGAGTCTAAATTGCTGTATTTGTCTGTTTCCCCCAGGCCCTCCCATCATCTCCAGCGAACCAGTGCAGTACGCAGTGAGAGGGGAGAGAGGGGAGGTCAAGTGCTATATCGCTAGCACCCCTCCACCAGATAAGATTGTGAGTGAAGTGAACTCCTGTGATATCCTGTGAAATATCTGTAACACTTTATAATAACTTTCATGTGTATGCATATATAAATGCTTATAAATGCTTTGTAAATGGTATAATTTCTTATTAATTGTAAGGCTTTGTGAAAAGAGAGAGTGAATGAATGAATAAGAGCTCTACTGACGACATGGGGTTGACAGATAGAGTGTGAGAGGGGGATGATGTGAGAGTGAAGGGGAGAGTAACATTTTGTACCTTTCACTATCGATTATCCACTACACCAGCAGAGACATGACAGAAATCTGTGCTTTATTAAAAAAGTATCCACTCCCGCCTTTAGTGGCTGCATCCCAAATGTCACCATATTCCCTTTATAGTGCACTACTTTTGAACAGAGCTCGGTCAAAAGTAGTGCACTATAAAGGGAATAGTGTGCCATTTGTGACACAGCCAGTGGGTGCTTGGCACATATAATGTGATACGACATTATAGTTTTAGCTTAATGCAGAGAAAGAGGACCTATGAAATATGAAGTATGGCGCTGTGTGAGAAAGGGGACTGGGGAATGGGAGGGAGGGGAGAGGATGAGTTCAAATCTTTTGTTTCTTTTTCCGCCTCCTCCAGTCGCTTTACCTTTTTCATTTTTTGGGGTTAAAAGGTACATTAGCACAACATGTGGGACTTTGCATATTTTATGTATTCATGTTCCATATTTAATAGTTTAACTACTTCAGCAGATTTTAAGTAGAAAAACCTGCTAGACTCTTTATTGCTCATGTACACCTGCCTCGACCGGGTGTGTGTCTGCATGCATGCGTGTGTGTCTCTATGTGTCCTTGGGTGTGTTTGTGTAAAAGGCACGGAACCCAATGTATTGTGTGTGTGTGTGTGTGTGTGGGGGGGGGGGGGGGGGTGTATGGTTATATGAGTACTTATATGTTGTGTTTGAATATACAGTAGGGCTGTATAGATATAGATTTTCTATTCTCCATTGACTCACAGTTTTTATTGTTGTGCGTGTGTGTGCGTGCCTGCGTGCGTGTGTGTGTGTTTGTCTCCTTACAGGTGTGGGCGTGGAAGGAGAACGTGTGGGAGAAGGAGAAGGGGACTCTGCTGGAGAGGTACACGGTGGAGCGGAGTAAACCTCACTCCCAGAGAGGGGCTGTCCTCTCCACCCTCACCATCAACAACGTCATGCAGTCTGACTTCCACTCGCCATACAACTGTACCGCCTGGAACGCCTTCGGACCCGGGACTATGATCATCACCCTGGAGGAGAAAGGTACACCTTGAAGCTGGCTGGAGTCTGGTCTAGCTGTAGTCCATCCGACTCCCCCAGAGGCAATCCCCGGGTCCACCACTTGCCCCTTTCCTATCTGTTTCCCACACTAATCTCCCCCTCTCATTCATGTATGTATCTATCAAAATCTAAATAAAATACATACAGAGGGTGGAATTCCACTCCACTTCAACACCTTAAAAAGTAAGTCACTTTGGATAAAAGGCATACATTAGCATTAAATGTTGGTATAACCATGTGTCTCTGTCTCTCTTGTCTACAGAGATAGTTCCAGTGGGGATTATAGCTGGTGGAACAGTTGGATCCTCCATCCTGCTCTTGCTCTTTCTGCTGGCTCTGGCCTTCTTCCTCTACCGCCAACGAAAAGGCAGTGAGTACTGTACCAACCAGCTACCACGCCCTCTGCATGCAACATTTGTGTGTGTGTGTGTGTGTGTGTGTGTGTGTGTGTGTGTGTGTGTGTGTGTGTGTGTCTATCATTCATATAGGACGTATCCCAAAAAGCACCTGATTCCCTATATAGTGTACTATTTTTGTTCAGTGTGCCATTTGATACAGCCCAGATGTCTGTCATTGCATAGGTGTGTGTGTGTGTGTGTGTGTGTGTGTGTGCGTGTTTGACAGCAGCCTCTGTCTTGTTTGGGTTCCAGGTCGACGTGGGGTCACTCTGGGGAAGCCAGACATCAAGGTGGAGACGGTCAACAAGGAGACACACAGTCTGGAGGAGTCAGGGAGCGTTTCCACAGCAACACGCATGGTCAAGACCATGTACTCCGTGAGTACCCCACAACACCCACCGCTATAACTCAAATCAAACTTTATTTAAAGTGCAATTGTTTTGACAATGGAGCGCCTCGAAAAAAACGCACCAGCTATACCATCTTGTAGTGAACCAAAGTGCAGTCCTGAACCTTTCTTTACTGTTGCAGTTTATTTCAAGTGCATTTAAAATATAGCAACATACTTTACAGTAAAACAATAAAATTAAGGATAAGGGGGACATGGATAGAGGGTTTATGTTATATTTTACCTGAAGACTTCTCACAGGCTGAGGATGTGTCCCAAATAGCACCCTATTTCCTATGGGCCCTGGTCATAAGCAGTACACTATAAAGGGAATAGGATGCTATTTGAGATACACCCTTAGACTTCTCACAGACTGAAAAACATCTGAAATAGGCTACACATTGAGAGTACTCTATAAGATTGGATCAATGCCATTGGGTTGCAATTTGAAATACTGCTTTACAACTGTTATTAAAACTTATTTATAGGTGCACTATGCAGAAATCGCTCTGCCATTTCCCGGTTGCAAAAATTCTAATAGTTTGCCTAATTTCAGTTTATGTGACAAAACAAGCAAGTATAGTGTAAAGAATCATTGTGCCATCTTAACCGCTGTGAAATATATTTTCCATAAACAAAAATATTGTATTTTCTGCTGTTTGAAACTGGTGTACAAAACCGAAAGTAAAAGATGCAAAAACGAAACTTTAGAACGGGAAGCATAGAAATAGTGCACATAGAACAGATCTACAGCTTCTTATGCTTGCGTGCAATGATAATGACAGATCTATAACTCACATTTCTATGTGAATTTGGTCGGGTCGCCCAAAAAGTTACCTATTGCAGCTTTAAGACAGAAAGTGTTATAGAAGCTATAAGGTGCTGAAGCATTTAATTTTTGTTTGAGAACAAACCACTGACTGAATTCCCCTTTATGTGCTACATGGCCCTGGCTATAACATTTTCAACTGTAGTCAACAAACATTTATCAAATAACATTTTCTTCTGTTTTCATCATATGAAAAACCTGATATTCTGTTTTCCTCTTCCTTCCCTCCTTCTTTCTTTCTCTCCCTCTCTCTCTCTGTGTGTGTGTTTTGTTGTTTGACGGTTTAGTTTCTGCCCTCTGTCTCCCTCTCTTCCTCCACCCAGCCATTCAAAGACGATATGGATCTGAAGCAGGACCTGCGCAGTGAGCTCGATACCCGCGAGGAGTATGAAATGAAGGTGAGCAACTCTCTCTCTCTCTGCTACTCACTTCATACAACCTACCTCAAAACAACAAACATCTCATACATACAGTGCCTTCAGAAAGTATTCACACCCTTTGAGGTTTTCCACATTTTGTTGTGTTACAGCCTGAACTTAAAATTGATTACGTTTAGATTTTGTGTTAGTGGCCTACACACAATACCTCATAATGTCAAAGTTGTGGAATGATGTTTTTAGAAATGTTTACAAATTAATTAAAAATGAAAGCTAAAATGTCTTGAGTCAATAAGTATGATTCATCCCCTTTGTTATGGCAAGCCTAAATAAAAATTTGCTTAACAAGTCACATAATAAGTTGCATGGATTCACTCTGTGTACAATAATAGTGTTTAACATGATTTTTGAATGACTACCTCATCTCCCCACACATACAATTATCTGTAAGGTCCCTCAGTCGAGCAGTGAATTTCAAACACAGATTACGGTAAATCACAAAGACCAGGGAGGTTTTCCAATGCCTCGCAAAGAAGGGTACATATTGGTAGATGGGTAAAAATAAAATAAGCAGACATTGAATATCCCTTTGAGCATGGTGGTTATTAATTACACTTTGGATGGTATATCAATACACGCAGTCAATACATACACTACCGGTCAAAAGTTTTAGAACACATTTAACATTTTTACATTTAAGTCATTTAGCAGACGCAACTTACAAATTGGTGCATTCAACTTAGGATAGCCAGTGGGACAACCACATCTTAGCCAGTGGGACAACCACATCTTGATCACAGTAAGTACACTTCTTCAAACAAGCAGCTGTGAGCAAAGTCAGTGCAATCAGGGACAACTACATCTCGATCACAATATGTACATTTCTTTAAACAAGTCAGTGCTAGCAGGTGAAATAAGTCAGGTGTTAGTTTAGACAAAAGACAGTGGTAGTAAATGGGGGGTAGAAGGATTACTATTATACTATTCCAGGTATTCCTTAAAGAGGTAGGGTTTCAAGTGGTCCTCTGTAGCTCAGCTGGTAGAGCACGGCGCTTGTAACGCCAAGGTAGTGGGTTCGATCCCCGGGACCACCCATACACAAAAATGTATGCACGCATGACTGTAAGTCGCTTTGGATAAAAGCGTCTGCTAAATGGCATATTATTATTTATTATTAAGTGTCTCCGGAAGGTGGTCAGTGACTCCGCTGTCCTGGTGTCGTGGGGGAGCTTGTTCCACCATTGGGGTGCCAGAGCAGCGAATAGCTTTGACTGGGCTGAGCATGAACTGTGCTTCCGTAGAGGTAGGGGGGCTAGCAGGCCAGAGGTGGATGAACGTAGTGCCCTTGTTTGGGTGTAGGGTCTGATCAGAGCCTGAAGGTAAGGAGGTGCCGTTCCCCTCATAGCTCCTTAGGCAAGCACCATGGTCTTGTAGTAGATGCGAGCTTCAACTGGAAGCCAGTGGAGTGTGTGGAGGAGCGGGGTGACGTGAGAGACCTACACCTACTCATTCAAGGGTTTTTCTTTATTTGGACTATTTTCTACATTGTAGAATAATAGTGAAGACATCAAAACTATGAGATAACACATATGGAATCATGTAGTAACCAAACAAGTGTTAAACAAATCAAGATATATTTTAGATTTGAGATTCTTTAAATAGCCACCCTTTGCCTTGATGACAGCTTTGCACACTCTTGGCATTCTCTCAACCAGCTTCAACTGGAATGCTTTTCCAACAGTCTTGAAGGAGTTCCCACATATGCTGAGCACTTGTTGGCTGCTTTTCCTTCACTCTGCGGTCCGACTCATCCCAAACCATTTCAATTTGGTTGAGGTCGGGGGATTGTGGAGGCCAGGTCATCTGATGCAGCACTCCAACACTCTCCTTCTTGGTAAAATAGCCCTTACACAGCCTGGAGGTGTATTGGGTCATTGTCCTGTTGAAAAACAAATGATGGTCCCACTAAGCCCAAACCAGATGGGATGGCGTATCGCTGCAGAATGCTGTGGTAGCCATGCTGGATAAGTGTGCCTTAAATTCTAAATAAATCACAGACAGTGTCACCAGCAAAGCAGCCCCACACCATAACACCTCCTCCTCCATGCTTTACGGTGGGAAATACACATGCAGAGATCATCCGTTCACCCACACCGCGTCTCACAAAGACACGGCGGTTGGAACCAAAGATCTCCAATTTGGACTCCAGACCAAAGGACAAATTTCCACCGGTCTAATGTCCATTGCTCATGTTTCTTGGCCCAAGCAAGTCTCTTCTTCTTATTGGTGTCCTTTAGTAGTGGTTTCTTTGCAGCAATTCAACCATGAAGGCCTGATTCACGCAGTTTACTCTGAACAGTTGATGTTGAAATGTGTCTGTTACTTGAACTCTGTGAAGCATTTATTTGGGCTGTAATTTATGAGGCTGGTAACTCTAATGAATTTATCCTCTGCAGCAGAGGTAACTCTGGTCTTCCATTCCTGTGGCGGTCCTCATGAGAGCCAGTTTCATCATAGCGCTTGATGGTTTTTGCGACTGCACTTGAAGAAACTTTCAAAGTTCTTGAAATGTTCCGTATTGACTGACCTTCATGTCTTAAAGTAATGATGGGCTGTCGTTTCTCTTTGCTTATTTGAGCTGTTCTTGCCATACTATGGACTTGGTGGTATTTTACCAAATAGGGCTATCTTCTGTATACCCCCCCTACCTTGACACAACACAACTGATTGGCTCAAACGCATTAAGAAGGAAATAAATTCCACAAATTAACTTTTAAGAAGGCACACCTGTTAATTGAAATGCATTCCAGGTGACTACCCCATGAAGCTGGTTGAGATAATGCCAAGAGTGTGCAAAGCTGTCATCAAGGCAAAGGGTGGCTATTTGAAAAATCTCAAATCTCAAATATATTTAGATTTGTTTAACACTTTTTTTGGTTACTACATGATTCCATATGTGTTATTTCATAGTTTTGATGTCTTCACTATTATTCTACAATGTAGAAAATAGTAAAAATAAAGAAAAACCCTTGAATGAGTAGATGTTCTAAAACTTTTGACCAGTAGTGTATATACAGGCGTCCTTCCTAACTCAGTTGCCAGAGAGGAAGGACACCACTCAGGGATTTTACCATGAGGCCAATTCTGACTTTAAAACAGTTACAGAGTTTAATGACTGTTATAAGAGAAAACTGAGGATGGATCAACAACATTGTAGTTACTTCACAATACTAACCTAATTGACATAGTGAAAAGAAGGAAGCCTGTACAGAATAAAAATGTTGCAAAACATGCATCCTGTTTGAAAGTAAAACTGCTAAAAATGTGGCAAAGAAATTAACTTAATGTCCTGAATACAAAATGTTATGTTTGGGGAAAATCCAACACATCACTAAGTACCACTCTTCATATTTTCAAGCATGGTGTTGGCTGCATCATGTTATGGGTATGCTTGTCATTGGCAAGGACTAGGGAGTTTTTTAGGATAAAAAGAAATGGAATAGAGTTAATCACAGGAAAAATCTTAAAGGAAAACCTGGTTCAGTCTGCTTTCCAACAGACACTGGGAGACAAATTCACCTTTCAGCAGGACAATAACCTAAAACACAAGGCCAACTATACGCTTGAGTTGCTTACCAAGACGACAATGACTGTTCCTGAGTGGCCTAGTTACAGTTTTGACTTAAATTGGCTTGAAAGTCTATGGCAAGACTTGAAAATGTCTAGCAATGATCAACAACCAACCTGACAGAGCTTGAATAATTTTAATAATGTGCAACTATTGTGCAATCCAGGTGTGCAAAGTTCTTAGAGATTTACCAAGAAAGACTCACAGCTGTAATCTCTGCCAAAGGTGATTCTAACATGTATTGAAAATTAGATATTTCTGTATTTCATTTTCAATAAATTTGCCAACATTTCTAAAAACAAGTTTTCACTTTGTCATTATGGGGTATTGTGTGTAGATGAGTGACTGTATACAACACAATACACATAAACACATCACACAAAAATATCACATTGACTACCTTACACCTCAAATATGCTGACACCTCAAATTTAAACACTCATGTAAGCTTGTAAAAAGCTCACAATAGCCTCACCTCTATCCTTAGGACAATACAACGCACAACTTACACACAACATATCACACAAAATATCACATTGACTACCTCACACCTCAAATATGCTCACATCTCAAATGTAATCACTCATGTAAGCTTGTAAAAAGCTCACAATAGCCTCACCTCTATCCTTAGGACAATACAACGCACAACTTACACACAACATATCACACAACATGACTACCTCACACCTCAAAAAATGCTCAAACCTCAAATTTTATCCCATGTGAAAAAATCTCACTATTTCCTCATCTCTATTCTTAGGATCCAACGAACGGCTACTACAATGTCCGTGCGACCACCCACGACGATGCCAGGCCGTCGTCCCGCTCTATGCTGTACCAGGGAGAGTTCCGGACCTCCAACCCTACGGGGGGAGCTACAGGAGCTACCGCCAATGGACCAGCAGGGGGCCCCGGTGGGGCGGTGGTGGCAGGAGGGGTCCTGGGGAAACCGGGGTCACGGGCAGTGTGCTACGACCCCCGACCTCCGTCCAGGATGTCTCATACTAGCTATGCCCAGTTTAACACCTTCACTAGGGCGGGGCAGAGCCAAGCCCCGCCCAACATCACCCATCCCTCCCATCCCGCCTCACAGACCAGCGAATTCCCCGGAGACTGCGGCCTATTGGACAGCAACACTCAGCTGACCTATGACAACTACGGCTACCCCGCCCAGTATCCCACCTATCGGATGGGCTTTGCCCCGTCCCCGGAAGGAGGACCAGCCTATGAGATGTACCCGACTGGACAAGGGGTGGGACCAGGACCAGTCCAAGGACCAATCCAAGGCCTAGGACTAGGTCCTGGTCCAGAAACTGTGCTTGGGAAGTATGGAACCTCCACCCGCTTCTCCCACGCCTCTCCTCCTGGTACGGACTACAACCAGAGACACACGCAGAGGATGCAGACACACGTGTGAGAGAGAGACGTATTGTGTAGTACACAGTGGTTTTCATACACACATATACGTACATACAGTGCATTCGGAAAGTATTCAGACCTTTACTTTTTCCACATTTTGTTACGTTACAGCCTTGTTCTAAAATGGATGAAATCGTTTTTTCCCCTCATCAATCTACACACAATACCCCATAAAACAGATTTTTTGAAACTTTTGCACATTTATAAAAAATAAAAAACGTAAATATTAAATTTACATAAGTATTCAGACCCTTTACTCAGTACTTTGTTGAAGCACCTTTGGCAGCGATTACAGCCTTGAGTCTTCTTGGGTATGAGGCTACAAGCTTGGCACACCTGTATTTGGGGAGTTTCTCCCATTCTTCTCTGCAGATCCTCTCAGGTTGGATGGGGAGTGTCGCTGCACAGCTATTTTTAGGTCTCTCCAGAGATGTTCAATCGGGTTCAAGTCCGGGCTCTAGCTGGGCCATTCAAGGACATTCAGAAACTTGTCCCGAACCCACTCCTGCGTTGTCTTGGCTGTGTGCTTAGGGTCGTTGTCCTTCGCCCAAGGCTGTGGTCCTGAGCGCTCTGAAGCAGGTTTTCATCAAGGATCTCTTTGTACCTAGTCCCCTGTAGCTCAGTTGGTAGAGCATGGCGCTTGCAACGCCAGGGTTGTGGGTTCGTTTCCCACGGGGGGCCAGTATGAAAAATGTATGCACTCACTAACTGTAAGTCGCTCTGGATAAGAGTGTCTGCTAAATGACTAAAATGTAAATGTACTTTGCTCCGTTCATCTTTCCCTCGATCCTGACTAGTCTCCCTGCCACTGAAAAACATCCCCAAAGCATGATGCTGACACCACCATGCTTCACCGTAGGGATGGTGCCAGGTTTCCTCCCGACGTGACGCTTGGCATTAAAGCCAAAGAGTTCAATCTTGGTTTCATCAGACCAGAGAATCTTGTTTCTCATGGTCTGAGAGTCCTTTAGGTGCCTTTTGGCAAACTCCAAGCAGGCTGTCATGTGCCTTTTACTGAGGAGTGGCTTCCGTCTGGCCACTCTACCATAAAGGCCTGATTGGTGGAGTGCTGCATAGATAATAATAATAATAATAATAATAATAATAATAATATGCCATTTAGCAGACGCTTTTATCCAAAGCGACTTACAGTCATGTGCGCATACATTTCTACGTATGGGTGGTCCCGGGGATCGAACCCACTACCCTGGCGTTACAAGAGCCATGCTATACCAATTGAGCTACAGAGATGGTTGTCCTTCTGGAAGGTTCTCCCATCTCCACAGAGGAACTCTGGAGCTATATTAGAGTGACCATCGGGTTCTTGGTCACCTCGCTGACCAAGGCCCTTCTCCCCCGATTGCTCAGTTTGGCCGGGCGAACAGCTATAGGAAGTCTTGGTGGTTTCGAACTTCTTCCATTTATGAATGATGGAGGCCACTGTGTTCTTGGGGACCTTCAATGCTGCAGACATTTTTTGGTACAATTCCCCAGATCTGTGCCTTGACACAATCATGTCTCGGAACTCTACGGACAATTCCTTCAACCTTTTTGCTCTGACATGCACTGTCAACTGTGGGACCCTATATAGACAGGTGTGTGACTTTCCAAATCATGTCCAATCAATTCAATTTACCACAGGTGGATTCCAATCAAGTTGTAGATACATCTCAAGGATGATCAATGGAAACAGGATGCACCTGAGCTCAGTTTCGAGTCTCATAGCAAAGTGTCTGAATACTTATGTAAATAAGGTATTTCTGTTTTTTATTTGTAATACATTTGCAAACATTTATAGAAACCTGTTTTCGCTATGTCATTATGGGGAATTGTGCGTAAATTGATGAGGAAAAAAACAATTTAATCCATTTTAGAATAAGGCTGTAACGTAATAAACAATGTGGAAAAAGTGAAGGGGTCTGAATACTTTCCGAATGTTCTGTATACACTTAAAAAAACACATACTTGTCAGAGTGAAACAGAAAGATATACTTGTTGATATACTCAACCGGGGATAACGACTGCTCCCTCGTATTGAGGATTTCAAGTTGAAGGTCGACGCAGTACTGCAGGCATTGTTTCCAGAAAACAGGATCCCGCATTATAGTGAATGGGGAAATGGCGATCTTCATGGTCAATATTCGTGTATATATATAGTTTTTGAAACACATTCATGCTACCAATAATTTATTATATTTCACCAGATGTATGTCCTTGAACCGACTACATTAAATCACACTTGCTAATGTCAGCCTGCAGTACCCCAGTCGGCCTTTAACTTGAAAAACTCCATGAGAGGGGGCAGCACTGAGCTAGCCTGCAACATCATTTCCTAGAATAGCTTAAACTGCCCATGCAATGTTTCCAAAAACTCTTCCATGTAGCAAGATTGCGACACGCTGAAATGACACTTCCTGATCATCAAATGCGCCACTGAGCATTCTCATAGGAAACTATGGGGTGACGTCATTGATGGCTTTGTCCATATTGTTTTTACAGTCTATGCACTCAACACATTTCTGCTCTATCCCATATACACAAACACAAACAATCTTACACAGTTTCTCTCAAACGTTCTATTGTGTGCAATCTTATGCTCCAAGAGCTGATAAAGCGAACGCCACAATCAAGAGAAGGAAGACATGAAATGATAAGAGAAAGAGAGGCTGGGAGTGCTTTTCTTAAACGAGGAGAGGAGGAGGGGATTCAGAGTGTGATTACTTACATGCTGATAGAAAGCATCCATAGATCCATCTCTTCGCCTTCACACCTTTATTTTTTTATTTTAAATGTTTACCTTTATTTAACCAGGTAAGCCAGTTGAGAACAAGTTCTCATTTACAACTGCGACCTGGCCAAGATAAAGCAAAGCAGTGCAATAAAAACAACAACACAGAGTTACATATGGGATAAATAAAACGTACAGTCAAAAACACAATAGAAAATCTATATACAGTGTGTGCAAATGGAGGTAAGGCAATAAATAGGCCACAGTGCAAAATAATTACAATTACAAATAATTACACCTCCTCTCTGTTCGACTCTGTCTCTCTTTCCTCTCACCCTCTCTCTGTATATAATCTCATTGGGGTAAAGATATGAAGATTATATTATTTTAACGTTAATATGACTTGTATAAACATACTGTATACAGGTACACTACCGGTCAAAAGATTTAGAACACCTACTCATTCAATGTTTTTTCTTTACTTTTACTATTTTCTACATTGTAGAATAATAGTGAAGACATCAAAACTATGACATAACACATATGGAATCATGTAGTAACCCAAAAAGTGTTAAACAAATCAAAACACATTTTATATTTGAGATTCTTCAAATAGCCACCCTTTGCCTTGATGACAGCTTTGCACACTCTTGGCATTCTCTCAACCAGCTTCACCTGGAATGCTTTTCCAACAGTCTTGAAGGAGTTCCTACATATGCTGAGCACTTGTTGGCTGCTTTTCCTTCACTCTGCTGTCCGACTCATCCCAAACCATCTCAATTTGGTTGAGGTCGGGGGATTGTTGAGGCCAGGTCATCTGATGCAGCACTCCATCACTCTCCTTCTTGGTAAAATAGCCCTTACACAGCGTAGGTGTGTTGGGTCATTGTTCTGTTGAAAAACAAATGATAGTCCCACTAAGCCCAAACCAGATGGGATGGCGTATCACTGCAGAATGCTGTGGTAGCCATGCTGATTAAGTGTGCCTTGAATTCTAAATAAATCACAGACAGTGTCACCAGCAAAGCACCCCCACACCATAATACCTCCTCCTCCATGCTTAATGGTGGGAAATACACATGCAGAGATAATCCGTTCACCCACACCGCGTCTCACAAAGACACAGCGGTTAGAACCAAAAATCTCAAATTTGGACTCCAGACCAAAGGACAAATTTCCACCGGTCTAATGTCCATTGCTCGTGTTTCTTGGCCCAAGCATGTCTCTTCTTGTTATTGGTGTCCTTTAGTAGTGGTTTCTTTGCAGCAATTCGACAATGAAGGCCTGATTCACACAGACTCCTCTGAACAGTTGATGTTGAGATGTGTCTGTTACTTGAACTCTGTGAAGCATTTATTTGGGCTGCAATTTCTGAGGCTGATAACTCTAATGAACTTATCCTCTGCGGCAGAGGTAACTCTGGGTCTTCCATTCCTGTGGCAGTCCTCATGAGAGCCAGTTTCATCATAGCGCTTGATGGTTTTTCCGACTGCACTTGAAGAAACGTTCAAAGTTCTTGAAATGTTCCGTATTGACTGACCTTCATGTCTTAAAGTAATGATGGACTTTCGTTTCTCTTTGCTTATTTGAGCTGTTCTTGCCATAATATTACACAAATTAACTTATAAGAAGGCACACCTGTTAATTGAAATGCATTCCAGGTGACTACCTCATGAAGCTGGTTGAGAGAATGCCAAGAGTATGCAAAAGCTGTCATCAAGGCAACGGGTGACTATTTGAAGAATCTCAAATATAAAATATATTTGATTTGTTTAACACTTTTTTGGTTACTACATGATTCCATATGTGTTATTTCATAGTTTTGATGTCTTCACTATTATTCTACAATGTAGAAAATAGTAAAAATAAAGAAAAACTCTTGAATGAGTAGGTGTTCTAAAACTTTTGACCAGTGGTGTACATCTATGGAACTACTCTCAATATTGTGCACACACTCCTTTACACTCACAGATATTAACACACACACGCACGCGCACACACACACTCTTACACGTTCAAGGAGATGGTCTTGCGTCCCTGCTGTGATCAGGCAAGGCGACAGCTTGTACTCCATATATGGATCTCTTTTTAACCTGCTTCTTCTCAACTGACATGGCCAAAGGGCTCCTCCAAGAAGTGAAGGAAAGTTAAACATGGAGTGCGGCCCAAATGGCACCCTAATCTCCATAGGGCTCTTGTCAAAAGTAGTGCACTATATAGGGAATAGGGTGCCATTTGGGACACATCCAAGGCATCATGGTATAACA